GATGGGGAACCTTGTTAGCCAACCATCTTTAAGAGGTGGGTCTTAGTTAAGGTGTGGCTTTGCTGGGACCCAGGATAAAAGGTGTGCACCTCCGTGTGTGCTCTCTCTGCACCTTTTCCCATGGGACTTTGCTGTGCATGGAGTTCTCATTTACTGTGTTCCCCTTATAATAAATAAAAAAAAATTGTTTTATTCTTCGCTAGTCTGATTATTTCTACAGGTGGCGCCCATGTAGGGCATGAACCCACGACCCTGAGATTAAGAGTCTCATTCTCTACTGACTAAGACAATTGATTTATCCTTAAAAAGGTGGGAGATAATAATAGTGGGTAATAGAGTGAATACTTGTGAGCTATCATTTATGGATAATTTACATAGGTATAGTTTTGTATACTGATACAAGTTCAAATTGTATTTGTTATTTCTGTTTACAATATTGGTACACCTATGCGAAGTTACTCTGTCAGATTGTATATATACTTGTTTCTACTTCTGTCTAGGACATTTTGTATATTGATAGAACTTTTAGGATACAGTTTTGTATTGCATTATATATTATTCTTACCTCTAAACAAGATATTTATGCATTGCTTACATTTTGAGGTCATTGTCCTCATTTGCTGCACATTTGTTTGCAGATTATTTAATATTCTGACATGAAGTCTTAGTCTTTAAGTAATACAGGTATTAAATATTAGGTCAATAGTTGTTCATGTTTATTATACATACAGTCAGATTAATTAGGTTCTTTAGATTCATAGAGATTGTATTCTGTCTAGATAGATAATCTTCAACCACTTGAAGGATCTGTAAAACATGGCATTTAAAGAACTTAGGGTTCTGTTGACATGAGACATGCTTGTTCCTGACATCACCAATCATTTCCCGAGAGAATGTTGAGCACCGAAGACACTCCACTTAGAGTTTGTTTTCTTTTTGGCACATTTGACCTATGGACAAGGAACTGCCCATGCCTCAACCACTGACAAAATACATGGTATCCGGAAATGGATAAGCAGGACACAAGGAAAAAGACTATCAAATCTTGCCAAGACAGAGTAAGATCGTTCTAAGAAATTTCCTGTCTCTGAAAATAGTCTGTCAGTTACGCTAGGCCTTAGCCAAAGTTGGTTGCTTCAATGTTGCAAATGAGACTTTAGGTGATTGCTCAGGTTGCTAATTGCCTCCATCATATATTGCTCGCTTTGGAAGTTGCTTGATTGCACTTCTTGCCTACTCAAGTAATATTTCCCTTCTCAGGCCTTTGATGGGTTGAAGATTAGATAGTTGTAGTTAACTTCCTCTTATGATTTAGCCAAGCTTATTTCCAATGTATTTGCTTAATATTGTTTATGTTGTTTTATACTTAATATCTGTTCCTATTGTATATAGTTTTGTATTGGGTTTGGATCGCTCTTGTTTAGACAAAACGGGGAGATGATGGGGAACCTTGTTAGCCAACCATCTTTAAGAGGTGGGTCTTAGTTAAGGCATTACTTCGCTGGGACCCAGGGTAAAAGGTGTGCCCCTCTGTGTGCGCTGTCTCTGCGTCTTTTCCCATGGGACATTGCTGTGCTTAGATTTCTTGTTTCCCGTTTCATGAGTTTTTCCTTTATAATAAATATAATTGTTTTACTCTTAGCTGGCCTGGTTATTTCTACAGGTCATCGGGCTTGCAGGCAAGTCCCCTTTCCCACCGAGCCCTCTCTCCAACCCCCACACCTAAAACAATTGACAAAAGTGTTAAATTGATCACAGCAAAGTTGCAGGATACAGATTATGATGATATAGAGTCAGCTTTGACTGTCAACTTGACATAACCTAGAATCACTTGGAAAGAGGGTCTCTATGTGGGATCATCAACGTTGATAATCGCCATGGCTATGGAAGACTGGCTTAGTTAATTGATGTGGGCAGCTCTGGCCCATTGCGGGTGACACCATCCCTAACCAGGAGGGTCCTGAATGGATAAAAGTGGAGTCACTGAACTGAGCACAAGCAAGAAAGTGAGCTAGCATGTGAGAATTCATTTCTCTCTTCTGTCTTGATTGTGGATGCGATGTGATTAACGTCTTCAAGTCCCTACCATCTTGATTTCCCCTCGATGGACTATCACTCAGAATTATAAGCTGAACAAACCCTTCGTCCCCTAAGCTGCCTTTGGTCAGAATATTTTATCACAGCAACATAAATTAAACTAGAATACAACATTAATAAACAAAAGCTACTACTCCGCTTTCCTGTATAACAGCAGTGGGAAGTCGGACTTGAAATTCAAAAGAGTATTTACAGTAGTGACCCCCAAATGAAATTAGATATAAACCTAAATCTGATGGTGAAGTATGAGGTGAGCTACCAAACACCAAGGAGATAAGAGAGAAAAGCGTCCCATGTGAACGGTAAGACTTGAACATGTTGGGTCTTCCCAAGTTGATTTCCATTGACACAATACTATAATCAAAATGCCCAGAAGTTATTTTATGGATACAATCAATTGCTGCAGCTACTATAACTAAAGCACTCATAGCAGCCAATTCAGTTGTAAACAACAAAGTCAGAGGTTTGTTACTGCTGAGCTTCAGAATGCCTGTAAAGTTACGGTAAGCGAGAGGGGAGTGTTTGTGGGAGGGTAAGTCACATCAGTGGGGCAGAACAGGGAGCTCAAAACTAGATTTGAATAAATTCAGGCAACTGGTCTTTGACAAAGGAACAAAGAAACACAATGGAATAAAGACAGTTTAATCAACTGGACATCCTGAAGCTGACCTTAAGCCCCTCACAGACATGAACTCAGCATGGATCACAAAGTATAAAGTACTGTGCTATCAACTCCTGGAGACAGTGTAGGAGAAATTCTGGGTGGCCTTGGGTAGGGCAGCGAGCTCCCAAGGGGCAGCCTGTGAAAGATGTAGTTATAACTGTGGCTTATTAGAGTAAACTCTGTCCTGCAGGTGCACTAACAGAGTGAGAAAATGAGCCACAGGCTGGGGAACAGGTCTGTGGACGATGTAAAGGACTGAAAGATGAAGCAGGCAAAGAACTCCCAAGACTCGGCACAGCAGCTTGTTTAAAACATGGACAAAGCCGGGCAGTGATGGGGCACACCTTTAACCCTCACACTTGGGAGGCAGTGGCAGGTGGATCTCTACGAGTTTGAGGCCAGTCTGGTCTACAAATCAAGTTCCAGGACAGCCAGGGCTCTTACACAGAGAAACCCTGGTGCAGGAGAATTGTCTGTATTCTGTCAATCATATTTTAATAAAACGCTGATTGGCCAGGCAGGCAGTATAGGCGGGAAAGTCAGACAGGAAGTAGAGGTGGAGCAAAGAGACTGGGAATATTCTGGGAAGCAGGAAGCTCCCTATGCCATTCCTGTCCAGACCACCGAAGAGGCAACATGTGAGCTGTCACACTGAGAAAGGTACTGAGCTGTGTGGCTCATATCATATCATAGATAATGATAATGGATTAATATAAGTTACAAGGACTAATAAGAAGCCTGATCTAATGGGCCAATCAGTTTATAACCTTATGGAGTCCTGTGTGTGATTTTTCTTGGGAGTTGCCGGTTGTGGGGTACCGGGCGGGACAGAAACCCCAACAAGCCGGCCCTCATGTTACAAAACCCTTTCTCAGAAAACCAAAAAGTAAATAAAAATAAGATAAATAAGAAAAGAAAATGGACAAAGGACCTGAACAAATATCTCCAGAAAGAAATAGCAAGCAAGTGTATGAAGAGGTGTTCAATGCCCTTTGCCATTAGGGGATTACAAAGGAAAACACATACCATTGCTGGTCTATTTTCAGTTCTGTTGGCTGTGATAATACACCCTGATGAAAAGCAACTCAGGAAGTGAAGAAGGGGCTATTTTAGCTCACAGTATCAGATTAGCCCATGAGCACAGGGACTTCAAGCAGCTGGTCACATCCTCCATGCTCAGGAGTAGAAAGAGAAGGAATGCACACATGCCCATCTGCCTGCTTGCTTGCGTGTTTGTAGCCTCCCCCGTTCCATCTCTAGTTTTCTTTTATTTATTTTTGGTTTTTCGAGACAGGTTTTCTCTGTCTAGCCCTGGATGGGATGTCCTGAAACTCCTGTTGTAGATCAGATTGGCCTCAAACTCAGAGACCCACCTGCCTCTGCCTCCCAAGAGCTGGAATCAAAGGCATGCGCCACCCACCATGCCTGATGTAGACGTCTTGACAACAGACTTATTCCTTCATCCTAACGAGTCAAAAAAGAACTGCTCCTAGCCCTGTATGTCTGAGTCACTCAGGGCAGAGGGTCTTGGGTCTGAGTCAGTAGACAAGCTTACCTTCAGTGAGGCATCAAGGTTGCCCCCTGGGTTCCTGGCTCTGGGTGTACATGGCACTCAGGGAATAGGGTGTCAGGGTAGGCAGGTTCATGCTGCAGTGTTTTGTTTTTTCTCACAGTCTGGAAACATTCTTTATCATTTGTATATACCTTATGTGACATGATGCTGAGTGGAATACCTGACAAGGTAGACTTCTTTTGTCTCATACTCTGAGGGTGCAGTCCATACATGGTGAAGAAGAGTCAAGGCTCTTGCATCCCCAGTCAGCTAGCTAGCTAGATCTCTCTCTCTCTCTCTCTCTCTCTCTCTCTCTCTCTCTCTCTATCTCTATCTCTATCTCCTGTCTCTGTCTTTCTGTCTCTCTCTTTCTATGTAGTCCTGACTATCTTTGATGTAGACCAGGCTGGCCTTGAACGCAGAGACCCACCCTCCTGCCTCTGCCTCCCAAGTACTGGGATTAAAGGTGTGGGGCCACCACACTTTCTCCGTTGTTTTCAGTCCTGGACCACAGCTCATTAAATGGTGTCACCTACATTAAAGTCCTTCTCCCTCAGTTAACCCAATCTAGAAAACCCCACATAGACATTCATGCCCAGAGATACATTTCCATAGTTATCTTAGATCCTGTCAAGTTGGCAAGGTTCACACAGTTCAGGGACGCTGACTGTTGCTCCTTCTCCTCAGAGAGGCCATGTGGAGACCCACCGTCCTTCCCACACACCATCCTCCAGGGTCGCACAGGCTTGGAGATGGGGGACGAGCTGCTGTATGTGTGTGCACCAGGCTCTGTCCCAGGCCGTCGAGAGACTGCCTTCACCTTGCTGTGCAACAGCTGTGGGGAGTGGTACGGACTGGTACAAGCCTGCGGGAAAGGTAAGCACCACCTGCCTGCGTGGAGCCCACACAGGGCTTTTGAAGGTCGCCCCCCCCTTTCCACCCACAGACATTGAGAGCCTCTGCGTCTGGGAATATATGTGCCTAGGGCATCTCACAGCTCCCTTCTCCATCTACCTGCTGGAAATGAATGGTTAACAATGCCCCACTCCTCTTCTCTAAAGCGAGACCTGACCCAGGTGGTTAAAAAAGTCATTGTTTTTTAAAGTTTGTATTATATTACTTTATGTCTTATGGGTGCTTTGCCTGTCAACCCAGAGCTCGCCAATATAAACAGAGATAGTCTTGCTGTCCAGCTTGAAAAACAAAAAACAAACAAACAAAAAAAGTGTCTTAAAAAAAACAAAACAAATACAAAAAAAAAGAAAAAGAAAGAAAAGAAGAAAAAAATGTTCATTTACATGCCATAGGTTTTCTTATGGAATATTTATAGTTAATATGCTATAAATACTTTTCCCAGCCTGGGAGGTATATCTCATTCATAAAGCGTTTGTCCTGGAACTCGCTCTGTAGACCAGGCTGACCCCTAACTCAGAGATCCACCTGTCTGCTGCCCAAGTGCTGGGATTAAAGGCGTGCACCACCTCACCCAGACCTTGTTTTTGTTTTTCTTGATACAGTCTAAGGGTCTTGATCAGATTTGTTTCCCCTCCGGTTAAGGAATTAAAAGGCAGTAGTTTATATCATCCTGGGGGTCGGACCCAGGGCTTCGTGAACGCTAAGCAAGCAGTCTAAGTGAGCTACACCCTAACCCATAAACAGAATTATTAAAAATAAAGATTCTGTCCCAGTCTGCGGCTTAATCTTGTCACTCTTCAGAGCACGTTTTAATGCATGGGTTGTTGTTTTGTTTTGTTTTGTTTTTACACATTTACTAACCTTCCAGACCAGAGTGGGTACATTTAGGGTGGTTTAGACTAGCTGCAAACTCTGGGGACTATTACAAGCTTTTTGGTATTAGATAAAAATAAAGTGAATTATATAAACTAAAATGAATTCCCATTACAAATACTTTTTTTTTGTTAGCATAGCTTTTTAAATTCCCTGTGAAATTATTCCAGCAGCGTCTCCAGCCGTTCTCTCCACTTGATTACCAGTTTGTGGTAAGGAAAGCCGCACAGAAAGGCGGGTGCTGGAGGGCTCTGCCCATCAACTCTAGCACCCACCCTCACCCAGACCAGCAGGGTTCTCCAGAGGCACTGAGGTCACACCTTCCTGTAAGCCACACCCCTCCACCAAATGGGTAGTTTACTGACCCAAGGAGGATGGGAACTAAAAGCAGGTTTTGTGTGTTCTGGAAGGTGTTTATTTTCTCACTGTGATGAGGAGTCAAAGCTTTCAACTGATTCTGGCTGCTTCACTTGGCTGGGTGGACAGATCTCCACAGTTCTCCTTACTCAGAAGAGTTAGCATTTAAGATGCCTGTGTCCTAGTAAGAAGTGTGTGTGTGTGTGTGTGTGTGTGTGTGTGTGTGTGTGTGTGTTCAACAACATGGTCACAGTGGCACACACCTGTAATCTTGGGGAGGTGGGAAGAAGAGAGGAAGTTGAAGGTCGTCCTTGACTGACTAGCAAGTTCAAGGCCAGCCTGGAACACGTGAAAATACACCTGGAAAAGAAACAGAAAAGGACTGGGACTATTGTTCAACTGGTAGCGAGCTTTCCTAGCACCGTATGTGGTGACACACACCTGTGACACATCAGAGCAGTTTGGAGGTGAAGGCAGGAGGATCTGAAGTTCAGTGCTGTTCTCAGTTGCATAGTGAGTTCTAAGCCAGCCTGGGCAACATGAGATTTTTTTTTTTTGAGGGTTGGAGAAGATTATTTTGGAAGGAAGGGAGGGAGGGAGGGAGGGAGGGAGGAAGGAAGGAAAGAAGGAAGAAAGGAGGGAGGGAGGGAGGGAGGAAGGATGGGGAGGAGAGAAAAATTAGACAAGTTTAGGGACAGCCATTCTCCTGACACTACAGAAAACATAATTGGAACCTAAGGAACCTGGGAGGTGGGGATTTACCCGTTTGGTACGGTGTGAGCATTCCATATTGGAAGCCCTAGGTTTGGTCCCTGGCACCACACACAGTGTGCATGGTAGCACACACCTGTCTCCCCAGCCCTTGGGAGATGGAGGAAGGAGACTCAGACCTTCAAGGTCATCTCTCTGCTACACAACAAGTTAGGGAGGCGTCTGGGCTACAAGAGCCAGTCTTAAAACAAGGACTAAACACACATGGAATGTGGGGTGGAAGGTTCTACTGGCCTTTTGGAGTCTCGGGGCTGACCATGGGGGCGAGGACTAAAGGCTTTAGCGTCCAGGCTTTCTGCTTCTGCCTTTCTTGCCCATAGTCATTCTCTCCCACTCTGGTCACACAGGATGTGTGGCCGCTTTTGGACCCAGGGGCAGAGGCCACAGTACCGCTTTATCCTGAGGTCAGGTGGCAGTAGCGGTACTGGAGTACACAAGAGACGAGAACGGAGAAGAGCGGGCGGGTCTGTGAGCCGAGAGAACCACAGAGGCACATTAGGAGGCCAACAGTAGTGCTTGCAACCAGGAGGAGAACTGTTCTCTTTGCACCAGTGGCCCAGAAAGAAAAATGGCCCTAAAGAAGAACGCAGGTTTGGCATAGTCAGAACCCGATAGAAACCAGACCCAGCATGGAAATCTGTGGCATCCTGCTCAAGGAGCAGTGCTGAGGTTTTATGTAATTAGAGCAACACGCAGTTATAGTTAGACACTGAGCACAGGAAAGAGGCGGGCCAGACAGTGCTGCCAACCTGGGAGTGGAAACCAAGATGTGTGGATTTGGACAGGAGAATGGAAGACTGCATAGCTAGACCCAGACCAGGGCTCTAAAGCCCAAAGCTATAAAACATCAGCACGTGCTAGAGAGCCTAGCACACCAGTTAGCTCAGCGGTCAGCGCTTGCAGGACCAGCAACACCTGGGCGAAGTCTAGGAGATAAATCATTCCCGTTCTCTCAGGACTCGGGAAAACAGAGGGGAGTGTCCTGTCTTCAGCTCTCCTCAAACCCTTCTATCATTTCAATATCCCAAATAAATAATCTTTAAAATGACAAGAGTTAGGGCTGATGGGATGGTTTGGGGGTAAAAGCACTTGCCACCAAACCTGAAGACCTGAGTTTGAACCCAAGAACATACATGATAGAAAGACAGAACCTACTTCTAAATAATATTCCGAGGTTACAGATGTCTGACTCCTGCGCCTAGCTTTCTCTAGCCTTTCTTTTGAATGCCCCTGGTCTGATTAGCCATGAACACAAGACACATCACTGTTTGACACTAAGAAAAGGGCTGTTACCACGGTATCGCTGTCCTGGGAATTGTGATGTTTTCTTCCTAAACCTTGGTTTACAGCTTCACTTACATATAACAAACCTCCCACTTCAAATATAAAAGTATCTGACTTATCCCAGTCAGATACACCTGTGAACCCATTATCACAATCAAATACAGAACTCCAAGGTTGGAGAGATGGCTCAGTGGGCATAGCACTGGCTGCTCTTCCAGAGGACCCAGGTTCAGTTCCCAGCACCTACTTGGAAGCTCACAACCATCTGTAACTCTACATGAGGTGGGTTCTGGGAACTGAACTTGGTCCTTTCCTGTCTCTTCCGGCACCAGGCATGCACGTGATGCACAGACATACATGCAGGCAAAACACCCATACACATGAAATAAAAATATTAAAAAATCAGAATATTTCTGCCCATCACCCCAACTTTCCCCTGTGCCTTTCTACAAAAGGCGTTTTACACACTCTACCTCATTTAGTCTTTGTAAGTATGAGTATATTAATGGCTAGCTTCAATGTGCAGATGGGGAAACTGAGGTTCACAAGCTTCCTTGACTTGCCTATGTCACAGATGCGAAAAAAAAAATCACAGAGCTGGGACTTAAAGCAGGCCCATGTCATTCCACTGTCACCCTGGGATCGTGGTGCCTCTGCCAGGAACCTCAAAACTTCCAGCAAGCAAAGGCCAGGAGCTCGCTCTCTCTTGCTCTGCTCTCGTCTCGGAAGACATTCTTTTGGTTTCTTAAATCAACTTCAGTCTCTATTTTTCTCTGCCATTTGGGCTTCGTTTTCCTCATTGACTCAAACATGAGCCCAAAGCTGAATTTAGAATTCCCTCGTCAATATGACCATATTTGTGCAGGGGTTCATTGAGCCACTGGTTATTTCTGGCGTGTCTGGATGTCTTTTTATAAAAAGACTATTTTTAAAGACCATGTAGCCAGGGCCAGAGGGCAAAGAAAACCAATGTGTAGGTTTTCCAAAATGAGACAGGACAGGACAGACAGTGGTGGCATCAGGAGAACCCTGGAGCTCTGGGTTCCTTCTGGACATTGGCCCCTGACCACATCCCTGTGAGAACTACAGACATGCCAGTGTACAGAGGTGGCCACTCCAGCTGGGGATGGGGATGAGGAAAAGAAGGGAGGGAAAGGTCAGAGATGTCAAGAACAGATCCCGTAGGCTGAATAAGTCAGGGAACTGTTTATCTCGTTTTTTGTCTCTGCAGGGGTGTAGGGGGCTATGTGTGTGTGCATGGGGGACCAGAGGGCAGCTTAGGGTGTCATTCTTCTTGGGCTATTTACTTTTAGAAAAATGTTTATGTGTGTGTGTGTGTCTATGTTGTGAATGTCACTTGTGTGAATGCCTGGAGAAGCCAGAAAAGGGGGGTGGGAGCCTCTAGAGTTGGAGCTAAATATGGCTGTTAGCCTCCTGATATGGGTGCTGGAAACTAAGCACGGCTTCTCTAGAAGGGCAGCAAATGTTCTTAGGCACTGAGTCATCTTTACATTTTTATCTGTTTATTTGAAACTTAGCTTCTCACTGGCCTGGAATTCACCAAGCAGGCTAGACTGGGTGGTCTGTCTTGGTCACTGTTCTATGGCTGTGAAGAAACACTATGAACAGCACTAATTTTATAAGAGAAAGCATATGATTGGGGCTGGTTTTCAGTT